ATATATGTACAACCCATGGACATGAACTAAGGAGGGGGACTGTTGGAGGGAAAGGTGGGTACAGGATGGAGAGGGATAAAGGGAAGAAAAATATCGGAAAACTGTAATACCATAATCAATAAAATATACTTAAAAAATACTAGCACATTCATAGAGATTTATTGTCTTAAAATTTTGAGTATTCTATTCAATATTTTTGGTCAAAAATGAAATTTACTATGTTCTGAAAGGTATTATGACTCCACACATGCAATTACACATAATAAAAATTTAAAACATAAACTGCTGTAATTAGAAGTATATTAAATCCTCATCTATTGGCACCAAACAACTGGATATAATTCTTATATACACATTTGAATTTACACTCTTTAAGCAAAAGAAAATATAAGGAAGCTCTATTTAATCAGCCAACATTGAAACTCAGGCATTCTCTCGATTAGAAAAGAGTTTGTTATTATTATGCCTCCTGAACTTAGGAATGCAGCACTACAGGTTTACAACAACAGGAAAAAGTCATTACCAAATACAAACTTAATCTTACCAGATTAAGACTCTTCCCTGTTGAAACTGTTTAGATCTGGTGTAACGAAGCTGCTGCAAATGAATTCAGCATTCAGCACAGCAACAAAAAAGTATTTTATTAGTGCTTTTTTAATAAGCAAAATTTATTTTAAATCTTGTATTGTTATTCCTCTCCTTCTATCGCTCTGCTTAATGTGAAAGAGCTGTCAGTTATTATGGTAAGTGTAACATCCCTACCCATCCACCTCACTTGTCCCTGTCCCTAACTCCACCAAGGGAAACATAGGCCAACATTTCTTTTTCTTAGTACCCAAAGTCTTCTACAACTCAAACTAAGAGAATAGAGAAACTCAGAAAAATATATTTCCATATTCCTTATTTCCATACAGGGAAATGCAATGCTTAAGTATCAGCAGCTCTTAGCATAACCCAGCAAAAAAATTTTTTTTTGAAAACTAAAAGGTAAATATCACTAATTGGCATATTTTAATCTGCCCTTAAAACATCCTCCTCTACTTTGGCTGTTGCAAAGTTGAGAGCCAGACTCGAACCAGAGTTATTCTCGAGGCTTATTCCTTTACTGTTTCATGGTATACATGCCAGCTATATACTGACTTGCTCCAGGCTGCCAGTGCCATCTATAGATGATGGATAGATAGATAAGATAGATAGATAGACATAGTCATTGCTCAGATTGAGTGCTTCACATTTGAGATCTTAAATAGCAGTGTTCCACTTTTGGACTATAACTTCTAATCCTTTCAGCTCTTAAATTTTCTTATTCCCTCTACATTTATTTTATAATCTCAAGATATATGATTTCTCGATTCCTCCTTTTTCTCTCAGTATACACGTCTCCTCAATTTTATTTCCTGCCCTATTTAGCTTAAGACTATCATTCATCATTTCAACAACTTTGCTCCTAGTGTGCCCTCAACCACTCTCTTCCCCATAATTTTCGTCTTGCAAATTCATAATCCTGAATCGTTTCCACCCTTTGCCTTCTGTGCTGCTATACAAGGTCAACTGTATATGTTAAATTACACAACTGTAAAAACTAGAACTCTTACAAATTTATGGCCTGCACTCCCAGATTAGTCGTCAAGATTGTCTTTGTTCTTCTTGTCTTTATTCAGTTCTTTCTGCCTACTACCTTTAGCAGCTAATCTTAGTTTTTCCTTTCAAAGCCTCCTGCTTTCTTAGTTCAGAAGCCCACATTGGCCCTTAATTCACTGAAAAAAAGAAACTATTAATTGTGAACTAAAATTTATTTACATTCACAGTTATTCTCATCTCCTTTGCTCCTATGAGCACAAGATGGTCCTCTTCCTGTTCAAGGCAAATTCTTCTGCAGATTCTAAATTCTGTATCATCCTACTTCTTTAGAAATTCTGTTTCATAAAAACTCTCTCTATTGACTCCTCCTAATTAGTCATAAATGTGCTCAAGTATCTGACATTTCTCAAAAACAAATACTAAAATCCTTAACCTACCTTCCTTTCATCTCAACTATCATTAACATCATTCTTATTCATGTTTCTTCAAGGACCACTCTATGTCCAAATTGTTATGCTTCTTTACCTCTAATCACTCTTCACAGAAAACTGGCTTCTACATCTAATGCTTTATTAAAACTACGGTTGTGGAGGTCATTAACGACCACCTAATTTCAAACAAAAAGGAAACTTTTTGTTCTTATCTTACTTAACTATTTAACAATATTTTATTTTATTTTTTTGTATATCTCCTTCCTTGGCTTCAGTGATATTATAGTTTTCGATTCTACTTCTACCTCACTGTCTTCTTGTTGTAAAAATAAAATTACCTTAACATTGGTTGAGCACTAACAATAAGACAAATATGTGCTAAGATCTGTACTTACTGAAAACAACTCTACAAGGTAGGTACCATAATTTTCACTTTACAAAGAGGAGATGGTCTTAGAGAGGCTCATTTATGTAAGGTCACACAAGGCAGGGATTTCTAACAGCAAATCCCAGCAGATTTACTACACTACCAGCAATTTTAAAAAAAGTAACAGTGAGAGTGGTACTTTTAAATCATATTTTTGAGCCAATAATTGTTAACTATTTAGAAGAGGTCATTTAACTCTGTTAAATTCATGTAGGTTAAAAGTCTTGAAAACAATGATTAAAGTTTTACGATTTTCAAAATCTTTCCATAATCTGCAATTTATCAAAGAGAAGGAGTGACAAGATCTGGCATCAAGACTCCTTTTTTCCAAAAAGTTCATGCAAGATTATCATATGCCTCTTGGAATTCTTGGATACTGTCTTTTTATTGGCACAACACCTACCTGCTGTCCTATCTCACAAAGATGGCAGAGGAAGAGTCCATAAAATTCTCTTCTATGAGGTGAAGCAACTATGTACCATGCTGCAATATCTGAGGTGTCACAAATCACACAGCATTCATGTCTTAATAAAGGGTTTAATATATACCTCTGCTGTTCTGCCAAGAGGAAACCCTAATGTAACGCAGCTAATTGAAATGTGTGTGTAAAGCAGCAGCCCTTGGACTTGGCCCTGCATAGGAATTTACAGGGAGTTTTAAAACATACTGGTAGCCGAGTCCTGCCTCAACAGACTCTGCTCTTATAGGTTTGAGATGGGATAGGAATGAGGATTTTTAGAAGGTCCTCAGGTGAGTCTAATACCCAGCTACAGTTAAGAACTCACTGGCATAATCAGAAAACTATCATACTCTATAGCTTTTAAGCACGGGGAGTGGGTGGGATGTCTTCATCCACTATCAGGGTTCTGCTTACTTATTTGGCCACATATAGACACTTATTCCAACTGTAAGCAAATGATTCCCCACAGACAGTCATCAACCAGACATACTTGGTATCTGATAACTGTATTAGTTTCCTAGGGCTGCTGTAACAAAGTACTACAACCTGGAGGCCTTAGAGCAACTGAAATGAACTGCCTCATAGTTCTGGAAGCTAAAAATCCAGATGTCTGTTGGGCTCTATGGGAGGGTCCTCCCACACCTCTTCTATCTTTTGGTGTTTTCTGCCAGTCATCGGTGCTCCTTAGCCTGTAGCTGCGTCACTCCAGGGACAAGGCTATTGTCTCCCCGTATCTTTATTGTCTTCCCTCTATGCATGTGTCTCTGTGTCCAAATCTCCACTTTCATATTGGGTTGGAACCCATGCTAATGACTGCATTTGATTACTTTCATAAAAACCCTATTTCCAAATAAGGTCAAATTCTTAAGTACTAGAGGTTAGGTGCTTGAGGGACACAATTCAACTCAAAACAATAACTAACCTCTGTCTATGTCAGTAATGCTGCTCTAAAGCACGGGTTCTTAAATAGGGGATGGAAAAAAAAACTTCATCTCTATTTTTCACTAACTCTCATGTAAATACAGCATTTCCTACAGTTATGAACACAGACAACAAACTACAATAGCGGTGCTGATGGTTGTGGAGTTTTTACCCACAGAAACTACTGGTATTTTCATGTCACATTTCAGTGTTTGCAGTTATCCCCCAAATCCACTTACAGTCATCATTACTTTGAAATTACAGTTGTTCATAGACTTACTGTTAGATCTAATTATTTAGTGTATTAATAATGATGCATATAAATACCAAGACACTATAAGATAATACTTTCATAATTGTATTTCAGTAAAACTGATTTTGATTTATTTCATTTATGCACTTAACATTCTTAAAGGAAGGCCACATTTTAAAAAAAAATTCAATAACTTATAACCCCAGTGAGTGAATCCTTACATTTCAGACTAGAGGGGTTTTATTTTTTGTTGTTGTTTTCTTAAATCTCAGTAAGTTATCAAAGAATACACAGGGCTTTGTACATCATTTGTCAAATTCTTTTTTAAACCTTGATCTACTGTGAGGATATGTATTGTGTACATAGCCCAATATACAATCTTAGCTCTCTCTTGCAACACAAAACTGAAACAAAAGTAGCACAAAACAGTACTGACCCTTACTATAGGAGATGCACCCTGCCATTTTTGATTTTATTTCTTTCCATTAAAAAATGCCAGTGTGACCTACTAAATTAATTTCACAACTACTCTTTATTTAAATGAATCTTAAAAATCCTTTAGAAACTTCTCATGTTATAATAGAGGAAAGGCTGTTATTACTGATAGTCATGTACTATTTTGAAAATATATGTCATCATTTTAGAGGTGGCATTTCGAAGAGTCAATAGTTCAACCACTGACCAGGCTCCATTTATAAGTTTTCCAAATCTGATGGGAGTCTAAACTTAAAACTTACCAAGCGCAGGGAGGAAAAGAGGTTAAAATAATAAACATTTTATGCCTGAATCATTTTAAAATTACAAAAAGGTTTTAAGTGCATAATGCTTAATTTCATTGAGGTATTTCCTCATTCACCACTGTAAAACTGGGCACAAGCATTTTTCAAACCAACATTTATTGATGCCCCCACTAAAAAGAGTTTTTACCTGTAGTAAACTCGAAGGGTCTGGATTTCTTCTTCCAGTTTTTTGTACTGCTGAACTGCAGTTTCTCTGGCTTCTTGCATGGCTAATAACTTTGCCTGCAAGCAATCAATATTTTAGGGAATTTAGTATTAATCTGATATGTAAAAATACCGTACTACAGTATCAATAAGAGTCTTAAATTTCTGGTAGTTTTAAAACTGTTAGGACTGTTTCATAATTTCCCACAAAATAATCCAATTATATCAATAGCATATACATACTGCAGACTTGAACATATTAAATTTACCAACTTTGCTCATTACTAAACTTCAGCCTTATTCATCTCTATCATCAGATATATGCCCTTCTGCAATGTTTAACTTTACACACAGAATTCAGAATGTGGAACATGGGTTCAGAGCAATATCTAGAGTACAGATAAGCACACTGGGTGTTTCAGATACAAATTTAATGTGGCTCCACTGCCTGATCACACTAGATTTTCTTTTAACTTTATTAATAGTAAAACTCAGAAAATTCTAAATATGTTGTTAAACCATCTTTGATATTTAACATGAAAAAATACACGACTGATTCTTACAGATATCATTTAACCTTTTCCGTTCCTTTTTCTGCAGGAAAACAATCTGTAAAGGGAGAATGGGAGCAAGCTTGAATGTTAAAGATACTTTATTCAAGAAATGCTCTTGCTCCTCTCTGCCTATAATATTCAAATTCTGAAGGCTCTGCAATCAGTTTTTCAATAGGGTTCAAAATTAGTAATTTTAAAAGAATTGCCACCTAACCATCATTCTAACCATCATTCCTGCTGGATTTCAGACATGGCCAAAATGTTCTCAACATAACTTCGAGAATATGGTACTGGACTCATGGACATGGACAACAGAGTGATTGCTGGAGGAAGCGGGGGCATAAGTGGACTAAATGGTAATGGAAAAAAGTCAATAAAGATTAAATTAAAAAATGTGGTACTGGTAAATCAGGTTTCAGTTTTTGTTTATTCTGAGTTTAATTTGCATGAAAAAGTTATCTTTTACTTTAAATGTTACTTGATAACATAGAGCAAATTGTGATGACACATCTCATGAACTACACTAATGGCAATAGAGGCAAAAATTACTAATTTTGCTGAACTTATATGATTTCACTGGAATTATTTTCATGCATAAGGATGAAGTCACAAAACAAATCGTGAAATCCTGATCATAGTGCTGTAATATGAGACCATTAGACAATGCCATTTTTCTGTTTTAATAATGGAGAATTAGAAAAACATGCAGCAATTTGGATCTTTGTGTTTAAATTTAGCCACGAAATTAATTAATTTCTTCTCTATCTGGACAAGCAAATTCTAAAAGTCACCTTTAAATTACATTTAAGATGCCTGAGTGCTTGCTTTAACATGTCATATTCTAGAATCATAGATGAAACATTCTCACGAATTAAATAGCATTTAAAAAAATAGGTGGCTGGTTCTTGATGCCAATAATGAGCAACTTTGCCAGTTTTCGGGTACACTATAAAATGTGATTGAAATAATAACTTGAGAGACACAGATACCCACTGTAACAGTGGCAAGTGAAAAAGAATTGCACAAAAAAGCACATGCCACATTCATCTTACAAAACGTCATATATCCTGTTGCCTGTATTTAAGGAATATCAAATATTAGACAGGTAAAAGAAAATTTGCTAAATGTTACCTTAATTGAGTATTCTGATTTTTTTTTAACCTGGATATTTCCAGGAGGGGAAAAAAACCAAACCAAAAATATAAACCCAACAGTGTTCTAGCAGGAAAATGCCATAATGAAGATCCTACTTAAAAAATTTCTGCAGTTAAAAATGGGATCATGCAAACTTTATTTAAATTCTTGAGTTTTGGGTAATATTGAGTAATTCACTTCCCACAATTAGTTGGTTATAAAGGTTTAGTGTTGATTCACAGTAACCAACTTAACTTTATCAGTTCCAAACATCTAATCAGTCTAGCTCTGGAGACTACTTTTAAAGCTATGATAAACTCTGTGGCTTTACAACCTCCTACCTCTATCAGATATGTTCCTATCTGGCCAGCACATCTACGTATTTTTTTGGAAATATCCTTACCCTATGCTATACTGATCCTGCTCAGTCCTGGGGCTAGGATGAACTCAGGCAGATATGATCCAGATTGTTCTATACCATTAGCCCCAGGAAGAAAACAATGCTGATGATATAATTTGTACCCCTGGATCCCTGAGTGCCAGACAAATCCAGATCCATTTTTCGACTTCCTGGGTATAGTATCTTTTATTTCAGTTTATGTTTGTGTGAGTTGGATTTATGTTATACGTAATGAAAGAAAACATAACTACAAAAAAACCATGACTAATTTAAATACACTGTTGCTACTGCATCTCCCAGTCTCGTTATTAATAGCATGTTAATTCCAACACAAGTCAAAGATAAATTTCATATCACAATCATTAAGAAATGAACAAACAAGGTATTTTTCCTCTTTTTCCGCTGTCATATTTCCAATATTTTTGGCAATTAGTTTTATAAAAACTGCATGCATTCATTTATGTTTATATTAACATAAAAAAATTGCATTTATTTTTTCTAAACCATGTGGTAATAAACACAATAAATTTAATGTATTGTTTTTTTCATTTTATTTGTTGACATTGTTACAGATGTCCCCATTCCCTGCCCAGTTTTGCCCACCCCGTCCCCTCAACTTGCTCTTGCCCTGCCCCTTCCCTCTGGCCATCACCACACTGCTGTCTGCGTCTGTGGGTCATGTACATACGTTCTTTGGCTAATCCCTTCACCTTCTTCCATCCAGTCTCCCCTCGCCACTCCCCTCGGATAGATGTCAGTCTGTGCCATGTAGTCCATGCCTCTGTTTCTATTTTGTTCATTAGAATCCACATATAAGTGAGATTATACGGCATTTGTCTTTCACTGACTGGCTAATTTCACTTAGCATAATAATCTCCAGGTATATCCATGCTGTTGCAAAAGATAAGATTTTCTTCTTTTTTACAGCTATGTAATATACCATTTACATGGTATATTTGTGTAATATACCATTACGTAAATAAAAAATACATGCATTTAATATATAACAAAATTCTAAAAGTATAAAAAATATGCAGTGTAAAGTCAGTATTTCTGCCACTTCCAACCCTCAGTGCTACAAATCCTGTCTTGATGTTATCAGTTACCCGTTTGTTGTATATCCTTCCAGAGACAGTGTGCACATATATGTATATTTGCAACTAAATATATCTCTTTACAGTTTTGATGGCATTCTTTACAGTTATAAACCTTATTTTAAATTAAAAAACATCCTCTACCTCAACTCATGTATCACCCTGAAATCACATTCCCTCCCTTCCCTCCCATTCCCAAAGTGAAACACTTACATGAATTTAGGTCCAGTATTTTCAAGAATGCTCTATAGTTTTATTACATAGTTATGTACTTATAGATAATATTGTTTACAGGTTTTTAAACATTATATAAATGATAACTCTACACATTTCACAGACAATTGCTTTTTTGGTATTATATACTTCTATTGTTCTTATTGACAACACTACCCATTCTGATAGTATTTATCTTTGGGCAAAATGTGCCCTTGCGCACCGCTACAGTCAATGCCCGCATGTGAGAACCAACCCCTTCAACCACTTATGTGATTTTTATCCCTAAGTTTTGCCTTTTCTATAATGTCATATAAATGGATTCATATAGTAGTTAGCCTTTTGAATTTGAATTCTTTCACTTAATTTAATGCTTTTGAGATTCATTCATATTATTACATGTATCAGTCCATTCCTTTATATCACTGAGTAGTGTTCCACTGTATGAATATACCGTAACTGTTTACTCATTCATCAGTTGATGGACATTTGGGTTGTTTCTAGTTTTTGGTAATTATTTAAAAAGCTGCTATAAACATCTGCATGTAGGTAATTTTGTGGAAACATACCTTCATTTCCCTGAAATAAATACCAAGGAGTCTAGTTATCATTTGTCACCACACCAAGGAGTGGTGTTTCTTTAAGACGGTGACTCCTAAGGTATGTTTATATTTATATACTGTACATGTAATATATGTATTTTTATAGAGTTTTATACATTATAAAGAAGCTGACAAACTTGTTGCCTAAGTTTATATAACCTTAAAGCATCTGTGTAAAATGTTATTGGTAAATAATTGGTAAATATTATCTATATTCCCTGCTATACTTCTATTCTATGACTGACTTATAACCAGAAGTTTGTGCCTTGCAATCCTTTTCACCCGTTTTGCCTACCCCTGAACCTCCTGGCAACCATCTGTTCTCTGTATCTGTAAGGCTGGTTTTGTTCGTTCTTTTTTTTCTCTTTTTTTTCAGTAGATTCCAACTGTAAGTGAAATCATATGGCATTTGTTAAGACTAGTTTTGCTTGTTTTTTTTTTTTTTCTGGTAGATTCCAAATGGAAGAGAAATCATATGGTATTTGTTTTTTTCTTCCTTATTTCACTTAGCATAATACTCTCAAGGTGCATCCATTTTGTTAAAAATGGCAAGACTTCATTATTTTTTTACGGCTGAGTAATATTTCACTGTTTATATATACCATATCTTTTTCCCCATTCATCTATCGATGCTCACTTGGGTTGCTTCCATATCTTGGCTATTGTAAATAATGGTGCAATGAACATAGGGGTGCATATATTTTTTCAAATTAGTGTTTTCATTTTCTTTGGAGAATGAAACTGATGGATCATATGGTAGTTACTGTTTGTGTTATCTATTATCAGCACTACATTTTTACTCCCTTCTGTTTTAGATGTCAAATTTAAATATTCCTATCTTGCGTGTCCCTCAAGTAATTATTGTAGTTACAGTTCATTTTACTAATTTTGTCATTTGACCTTCACACTAGATTTATATGTGGTTGATTCATTACTTTTTCTATATATTTGCCTTTACATGGTAGAATTTCCTTCATATATTTTATTTCTAGTTATGACCTTTTTAAAACAGGCTTAATAAAGTCCCTTTAACATTTCTTATGAGGCTGGTTTAGTGGTGATAAACTCCTTTAGCTTTTGC